AATCACCTGATCTTTAGTCTTCAAAGCATAGGCCCAAACTTTTCTGGAAAAATCATCTATAAAAGTGACAAAATAAAGTACACCACTTATACCAAGAACATCAATAGATCCACCATGAGTTTTTGTCCTCGAAGGACCACATACATCTATATAAACACGGTCTAAGGCATGCATTTTTCTAGACAAAGCAGGACTAGTAAATGAAACTCTATGTTGTTTACCTGCCAAACAATCAATACAAGAGTTCAGATGTATACCTCTGAGGTCTGGTAATACCTTTCTGTTTGAAAGAGCTTGCAGCCCCTTCTCGCTCATGTGTCCCAGTCGCCTATGCCACAACTCCATGATGAAGTCTTTTTCTATAGCATTTAACTGCTCACCATAAACTTTAGCTTGCAACCTGCACAAAGTATGACATTTCTTTCCATTAGCTATAATAAGAGAACTCTTACTGAGCTTTCATTGCCCTTTGTGAAATCTGGTATCATAGTCTTCATCATCTAGCCTTCCAACTGAAATTAAATTCAGCCTCAAATCAACCACATGCCTCACATCCTTAAGCACCAACTTACAGCCTAGATTGGTCTTTAAATGGATATCACCCATGCCTATGATGTCTACTGTGCCATAGTTGCCCATCTTGACAACACCAAAATTTCCAGACCTGTATGTAGCAAAAAACTCCCTCCGTGGTGTAGCATGATAAGAAGCACCTGTGTCAATCACCCACTCAAGATCCTGACACACACAAGAAAAAATATCATCAGAAGGAGACAAAATCAAATAATCACTACCCTGCATTGTAGCTGTAGTATTATCCTTTGACTCTGTAGACTCCACTTCTTTTCCCTTTTTCTTGTTCTTTTTAGGTTGCTTACATTGGTTCTTGTAATGTCCTTTCTCATCACAGTTATAGCAAACAATATCTTTTCTTGATCTTGACTTGCTTCTACCCATGCGTGAATTGCTTCTAGATTTTGACCTTCCTCTATTCTCTGAGATAAGTGCTTGTGAATCATTCTGAGATATTGCTGAACTCTTTCTTCTCAACTCCTCATTCAACAAACTGCTTGTTACTTGACTTATAGTGACAACACCATTTGGCGCAAAATTACTGAGGGAAACCACCAGTGTCTCCCAACTTTCTGGTAATGAACTGACAAGTAACAATGCCTGCAACTCATCATCAAGAGATATTTTCATAGAGGATAACTGGTTAGTAATACTTTGCATTTCATTCAAATGTTCAGTAATAGAAGCACCCTCTCTATATTTTAGGTTCACAAGTTTTCTGATTAAAAAAGCTTTGTTGCTAGTTGTTTTTCTTTCATAGAGACTTTCCAACTTTTTCCAAAGAAAATATGTAGAAATTTCAGTAGAAACATGGTGAAAGACACTATCATCAAGCCACTGTCGAATAAATCTAATTATTTTTCGATCTAACCTCTTCCACTCATCATCTGTCATAGTTATGGGTTTTGCATTATCCCCCTGTAAAGGTCCATACAAATCTTTGCAATACAAGAAATCTTTGCCAGTAATGTGAGAAACATTACTGGCCTCCATGTTCAAATACAAAATTTAAATCACCAAAACCCTTTGCTCTGATACCAATTGATGGGGATATAAACAGGAATAACCTTTGTATATGAACAAATACTAGAAGACCATAATACGCAGCGGAATTAAATGGAACCACAATCAAATATAACACCAAGATATACATGGAAAACCCCTTCAATGTGAAGGGTAAAAACCACGGGGCAAACTAAAGATAATCTACTATGAGAATAATGAATATACAAATCTCAATCTCTTGCTCTAAACCCTAGCAACAATCACAAGAGAATAACTGGGATACAAGGATCACGTCACTGCCTACAATATCTAAAACCTCCCCAAGAAATCACAGCAAGAGTCTACTGTAGATTTGATCTAACCTGAGATGAGAACACTGCTATATGATTGAGAACAGCCTCTCTGTGTTGTCCTTGTCTTCTTCCCTTTCTTTCTCTTCCTTTTCTGCCTTGTTTTCTTCCTTTTCTTTGGAATCCCGTGGCTGTATTCTTCTCCCACGTTGTTGCCCTATTTATGCTTTTTTCTGCCTCCAAAACGTAGCCACCACACCCCCCTAATGTTAATTAGGGTTAGGTTAAGAAGGGGTGTGGCCTGTGGGCTGCCTAAGCCCATTATGGGCTAAATTTGTGGGCTGCCAGCCCAACATTAGTAAGTGGTGGTGAAATCAAACCGGGAAACACTGTTTATGCAATGGAGGGCAGCTGCTCCTGAGAGACGACTGAGCTCCTTCCTACCTAACTTTTAACTTTGTTTGTTTCTTCGCTTTTTATCGAAGTCATTAGTTAATGAACAATCACTTTTTATCGAAGTCGTTAGTTAATGATCTTGATCACCTTTTATTGAAGTTGTTAGTCGATGGACTCGTTACGATCACTTTTTATCGAAGTCATTAGTTAATGACTTCGTTACGATCACTTTTTATTGAAGTCGTTAGTTAATAGACTTGTTACCATCACTTTTTATTAAAATCGTTGGTTAATGTACTCGTTACGATCATTTTTTATCGAAGTCGTTAGTTAATGAACTCGTTACAATCACTTTTTATCTAAGTCGTTAGTCAATGGACTCGTTACGATCACTTTTTATCGAAGTCATTAGTCAATGGACTCGTTACAATCACTTTTTATCTAAGTCGTTAGTCAATGGACTCGTTACGATCACTTTTTACCGAAGTCATTAGTTATTGACCTCGTTACGATCACTTTTTATCGAAATCATTAGTTAATGAACCGGTTACAATCAGCCACTTTTTATCGAAGTCTTTAGTTAATGAACTCGTTACTAAGTTGTAGCAAACACACAAAAGATTATAAAACCACTTCCTCAAAACTCGTTACAAGTTTCTTCTCTCATTTTTTTACTTTTGAATTAGTTAGGTAAGATCTCACCCGAGGAAAATGCTGATACTTCACTTGAGAAGCTCTCGTACTTGGGAGAAGCAAGCTATTTGCAAAGATTTTTTTCCTTTTGCACCAAGGATGGAAGATGGAAGACGGAAGATGCATTTGCTAAGTAGGTTTCTCGGAGGCAGGCCATGTTCCATGAGCTTTCTTTTATTGTTTCTCCTTTGCTCTTCATTCCTCATTTTGGATGGATTCCTTGCATCTTTTCCTGCTTTGCCACTCTCTCGTCATATGATTCCAGCGACCTTCTTCATCAAAAAACAAAAATAATAATACTCATCATCAACGAGTGCTAGTGGATGCAGAAGAAGCAAAAGCCTGAAACGTACTTTCTTGCGTCACCCAGAGCAGCAGCAAAACGAGTCAGTACATGAGAACCTTCGTTCCACAGAGCGATCACAAGGAATTAGATGCATCAAGCTTTAAGCGTTTGGTTACTTCACCCAAGCTCAAAAGGGAAAAACACCTTCACTATCGAGGAGCTTCTAACCAAGAAGAAGGAAGAAAAGTCATAGATATGAGATTGGTCCAATTTGATTTAGGATGAATGAACGGGGTAACTAAATCCACTAAACTATAAAATAAATGGAGAAGAATCGGAACATATCTATATGTTAAGTTGAGTAAAAATCTTTGAATCAAGCGAGAGTTGTACTCGGAGATCACGGACAGTAGTAGTAGTAGTAGTGGTACTCGTATTCTTCATTAGTTGGTAGCGGTAGCAGTTGCAGACCAAGGCAAGGCAATGGCGAAGTGCCTTCCTGCCTACCCAAAACCAGCATGTCGAAGCCTCGTGGCTGATCGCTGACATAATAGACTGTTGGTTCTCAAACAGGTCAGGTATCATCATCAACCTTGGAGTCCATCACCTCCATGGTCACCCGACTGAGCTCCACTGGTGTTGGTTCTCAAATATCCATCACCGAATGGTCTTTGCACTGTTCTGAAAGGAGTAAAAGAAGAGAGAGAGAGAGAGAGAGAGAGGAGGCATCAGCAACTTCAAGGAACGGTAGGTGTAATAATGGCACGTCCTCGAATCTATCGACCGGTTCTCTGGATTTTTCCCTCGCTGCAGTGGTCGGCAGTCACCGAGCGATTTGAAAGCGGACAGTGATCTCAGAACCCCATGAGAGCCCCCCTCCCTCCCTAACCGATCCAAAGCTCATTTCCAAGAGATTCTCCTCCGTCGCAACTCGAGAGTAACTCCATCAAAACAAATCACGACCACAGAAAGAACTCAAAACAAGTGAGGAATTAAGCAAAAGAAAAAAAAAGAACACGAGACAATATTTTCTTTCTTTATTAATTTTCTAATTTTTTTTTATAGTTTACATTAACTTTCGGAAGAATAAAAAATAATAATAAGGTTTATAAAGATTTACATGAAATTAATTAAACATCGATTCCTTTTAGAATTTGAAACGTATCAAACTACGAACCATTATCTAATTTATGTTAACTCTTAGCAATAATAGTCCATATTTTCCATATGATTTTATTTATTTTTTTTTTCTTCTTTTAACTTAACCACCATTCATCTCTTCAGAATGTGCTAACTCCATATACATCATTCCTATCTTATCATCCGTTTATCCCGTCTGGGAAAAAAAAAAATATATATATATATATATATATATATATATATATATATTTCCTTTTTTTTATTATGAATCGTTGTTCATTTATTTTCTTGTCTGCCTCTGAAAACCATATCAAAACTCATGTACATCGATATAATTTATAAGTTTAAGATGGAAAACATTATATATATATATATATAATCTGATATTTAAATTTTTTTTGAAATTATCGAGTTATTTTTTGAAGTCAAAAAATTTGCACAGGATTAAGGAACCAAAAGGTACCATCAAAATCTATCACTGATATGTTTACTTGACAGTGTATCAGATGCACAGTCGCCTAACTGGCAGGTGTCAGATTTATGCCATGCGGAAAGACGCAAACACCCTTACGCTTGCTCTGTTTTACTCCAACCCCCCTCCCCAAGTCTCACTCTCTCCTTCCCTTTTTAAAGATGCCAACTCCGTCTCCTCTTCCTCCTTCCCTGCTGCTAGTGGAGCACATGGTTGGGCTGTGAGGCTGTGCATCGAGCTTCAGCAAGCAAATGGAGATGAGTTCGAGCTCCCTTGGGGCCTCGGCATCCCGTAGCTCCAATGACACCCTCCACGGGCTTATGTTCGGCGAGAAGGTCTATTTCGAGGATGCGGTTGGTGGCGGCGGCAGCGACAGCACCTCCAAGGCACCTCCGGCTCCGTCGACGGCGCCGAAGAAGGGGAAAGCGGTGGTGCACGGAGTTCAGCAACAGCCACCCAGGTGTCAAGTGGAGGGGTGCGAGGCGGATCTGAGTGGGGTGAAGGCTTACTACTGTCGGCACAAGGTCTGTGGGATGCACTCCAAGGCACCCAAGGTGGTTGTCGGGGGAATGGAGCAGAGGTTCTGTCAGCAGTGCAGCAGGTTCGATCTGTTGCTATGTTATGCGCTATGTTCTCCGTGTTTCGGTGCTCATCTTTCATCGAATCTGTCGTTGAGATTATGGTACGGTGAAATCGATGCTTCTATTTAGTTATATTTGGTTTCTCGTCGATGGGTGTCTCGACGTGTAATCAATCATCTCCTGCCTCACGAAATGAAGGTTGTGTTTGGTTGCCGTCCAGGATAGCATTTCGGATTTCTCACTCTCTCGAAAGAGGCTTTTGGTTGGTTGGTTGGTTGATGACCCACCCACCCACCCACCCTAAGTTTCTTTTTTCCTGTTGGAAACATGAATATGCTTGCTGTGAATGCTTTCTCTGGATTCCAGTTCACCATGCTGCCATTATTTTAATGTTCTGCTCGTGTAGTTGGAAAAAGGCCTAAAACTATTTAGTTGGCATGTTAGATCACTAATGATGTCGTTGATCCTCTGTTACTGGACGTCGTTTGAGTGAGTGGGGGGGGGGGACTGTTCTACTGTACAAGATTTCTTTCTTTCTTTCTTTGTTTTCTTTCTTTCTTTCTTTTTTCTTTCTAATGCTGGTAACCCAGCAGCATTGTTCTTGCCACTGACTTGGTGTTCTTAAATGTTGTTGGTCTACTCGAGGATAAATAAACAGTTGTTGGTCTTTCTAGTTAGTTAACATCATTCATTTTTGAGTCAAAAAAAAAAAACTCTTTTTTTTTCTGCTCGGTCACAGGTTTCACCAGCTGAGTGAATTTGACCAAGGGAAACGCAGTTGTCGCAGACGTCTGGCGGGCCACAACGAGCGTCGAAGAAAGCCGCCCTTCTCTCCGCGCTATGCCCACTTGGCGCCACCATCCTTCCATGGTCAGAAGCATCTAACCTGACCTTTTTTATTTCTTCGCACTGCATTTATGCTACTGGATTTTTGCTCTCTGAATGCTTCTTTTGCATTTAACAACAGAACCCGGCAGATTCAGAAGCTTTCTAATGGATTTCGCTTACCCCAACATTTCGAGTTCCACTGGCGCAAGAGACATTTGCCCTACTGTCATGGCCGGTGATCAGGTGGCGACTAACCACTGGAATGATGTCGTAGATGCTCCATCCGATGCGGATGCAGATGCAGATGCAGCTGCAGCTGCTGCTGCTGCTCCGGTGCACGGAGCCGGATCCCGATCCCATCCATACTCGCAAGGTTCGACAGGCCAAATTCTCTACTCTTCCCCGGAGTTTCCGCCCGGTGAGTGTCTCGGAGGAGCCTTGGATGCCAGCTGTGCTCTCTCTCTTCTGTCAACTCGGCCACGGGGCGATCACACATCCAGAAGCCGCCGACTCCCAACTATTTCCGCAAGCGGTGGTCTCAACGCCTCCTCCTCCATCTTGGCTCATTCCTTGGTCTCCAACAATCACACGGCCAACTCCGCGAGTTTTGGACACCAAGGAAGCAGGAACAGTTGGCATGAGATGGGGATGGATGCGGCAGGTGGTTCTCATTTTTCAGGTGAACTGGAGTTAGCCCTGCAGGGAAACGGGCAGTGCCTCGGCCATGGCTTGTTGGGCAGGGAATACGATCACTCAGGTCATAACATCATGCACTGGTCTCTCTAGACCTTGCCACCATCATTTTGCTGCTCCGAGAATCCTGAACGCTATGGGTTGGGATTTTAGTGTCATCATCATCACACACAATTTTGTGTCCCAGTCTATTTGTTCATCAAGAGGCCAAAGACTAGTGTGTGTGCCTCGTAATTCTGTAGCTTTGGGGTTTGATTTTTTCTTCTTCTTCTTCTTCTTCTTCTTCTTTTTCCATGAAATTGATTGTAAAAGATGATGCTAATGTAGTCTCATCTCCTTTAGACTAATCAATCAAGCATGTCTTCTTTTGCAGCCATGTCTTCAGCAGCTTTGCTTCCTTGAACAAGAGTGGAGTTAGTTGGCAACCGAATCTTTTGAGATAGTTCTACGCTCACCATTGCAGATTATATGCACCGTCGAAGAACATGACATTAATAAAAGAATACTAGTTATCAAGGGGAGAACATACCATACCATACCATACCATGTGTGAGAATAAATTCCTCAAAAGAGGTCGATCCAGGCAGGAATGCTGAATAATTCATCCGCCCCCATCACGTGATGCATCATCATCATCATCATTCATCATTTGGAAAGCTTACTCTCATCAGCAGCAAGATTCTCTGTTTGATGATGTTGTCAGCAAAACTGATGTGCCAGTTACAATTTGGCTTGTGCAATGATGAGCCACAAAAGATCAAGCAACAAAAGCTGATGGACTTTCTCCCGGTGGTCAGTTTATTTTATCAGCTGCACTGATAGCAACTCCCCCCCACCCCCTTTGGCATCTGAAGAAGGCTGGCAGATCGCAATTGTTTATGTTCCATAACCAGAACCTAGATTCTTGCTGACAAGTAAATAAATTTACAACAATTTCGATACGACTGCCACCACAGGCTTATGATAAAATACACAACATCGGTTATCAATTTCCTCCTTTGAGGACCGAGAGACCGACAACTACTTTGGCCTCCTCATAAATGTGTTCTTTAGAATCACTATTTGATGAATTCCATGATACCGTTCACTATATCTAGGGCCATAGACAATTCGTGCAATCTGCTCCAAGAGCTCAGAGTTGGTCGCTAACTTGGACCACCTTATAACCAGTCTCTGGTAACAAGGTTCATCCCACTTTAAGATGAATCATCTTTTCAGTTGTCTGAATAAAAGGGTCTGCTGATGCCGTTCTGATCAATGACCCCTCTCATAGGCACGACCACTATCAAGATGATAATCTCATTTGTGGAACAATCGGTGAGACATGCTACATATTGAACATCACTCTCTATTTGTTCCACAGATTGACATCAGATCGACTAGGGGGGGCGCTTAGCATTTGGAACTTGTAACAACGATAAACAGGCTCTGCAAGTTGTTTGTGATCTTCATCGCTTGTGATTAGTGATCTTCATCGCTTGGTCCGGGACAATTAGTTGCCAATTCCTCTGCCGACTCATACTGAAAAAAATGCAAAATATGACTGTTTTAGCATTTGGTCAAGTGGGTATATATGAGATACAGAGTCCTAAATTCTAAAATTCCTGCAATAAAAGCAGAAAAAAGAAAATGCATATCTCATCGGTACATGCTAATGCATAAACTTTCTGAAATATCTCTGAGCTTGCCATCTTATTCATAGATATCTGATTGCAGCTCCATTAGTCTCTGGGTGCAGAAATGCAATCTCTCTTTTCTCAACAGTGAGCATGTGCATATTAGATTTGTCAAGAAAATAGCATATTGAAGACTTTCGCTAACCTGATATCCACAGTAGAGGCAGTATCGGTGTTCATCTCTCAGCTTTGTCAGTATATCATGCAAATTCTGCAAAAGCAGAAAAAAAAAAAAGAAAAAAAAAGACAAGCTAGTCAGTTTGTCAGATTCAAAACCATGGATGAAGAATGTTCCAAAAAATATTTTAAAACATTAAAACAGGACAACCCCCAATTGATACACACAAAAATTACAGAGATATGATTTATCCTCAATTCATGAAAGTAAATTATGGCCTTTAAATCTTGATCTTTACTATCTCTAGATATTCTTCTGATTGCAGCAGATCCTACCATGTTTTTGCTTTACATAACAAAAACGTCTGTAACAGACATATAACAGCTTATACGGCTGCCGTATGAACACACTTTAATTTGTCCAGATTTACTCCAGTTTGTGGCATTTTGGACTTCTCATTGTGTTGTGGTTGAGGACAATGATAGAAGATCTACTTACGGAAGATAAAGGTCCTGGAAATCAAGGAAATAGAAGGCTATGAAGGACAACAATCTTATCAAAACATCAGTTGATATCAAAACATGTGACTTTGAACTGCACTGTTATCTGCCAAGAAAATACCTCTATAGCCAATTTCATGGTGTCGTCATTGGATGACTTAAAATCGGTTAGAACTGGTTAGACTAGGAATTTTTGGCCAATTCCAGAAAAAAAAACTCAACATCAAAAGAAAAAGAGGATGTAGAAAGGGAAGCTGACAGCTTCCGTAGCTGTAGAAAAGGAAAGAGTACAGGTAGGAGCAGGATATAAGAAACAAATGCAAAAGGAGAAGAGCTAGGGTTGTTCCATTTGTGGTCACATCATCATCCACCACCACCTTAGTGTTGATTTACGCTTTGCTGCAACTGTCACATTCAGTTGTTTGTGACCATCGCTGCAACATTAACTGTCAACTGGAGCAGGTAAAGTGGTGAGACCGTGAGAATACGAAATGGAGTGGATGGGTCGGGTCACAAATCTTGTTGCTGGATGTATTTATAGAATAAGATAGTAGGTTTGATGCAATCCAAGCTCGATTAAGCTTATGCAGGAATCTGTATTAAGACAAATATAATTTTCCAAATTTGTATGTACAAGGAGTCCTGTCATAGTCTCCACATGACATTTTCACAAATAGAAGTGTTATTAGGTTTTATTTTAGTCTGGATGGGGTTCATTTGATTGCACAACCCCCACATAAACTTGAAGCCATAGATTACATGGAGCTAAGAGCAGAGTGGGTTTATTTATAAAACAGGTATGATAGCTCTGTAAAATCAGAAAGGCTGAACGGTTGCCAAAGCTAATTATGTGGCTGCAGGCCCTTTATGCAATTTTTTTTTTTTGCCTCTGTTTTCTGTAAATTTTTCCAGAAGATCAACTGCTTCTGCTTTATAATAGTGATCCAGTTGCCATTTTTCGCTTGAACCAGATTGAATTAATGTCTTCTTTGTTCAGGTTTGATAATGTGAATATTCTTGCAAACCCGCCTCAATTCGATAAATGATGGGAGACTAACAAGATATGTATCTTTCAATGATAATGCTAGGCCAATCATGTACAATCAGTTTCTATGAGCTATTCATCGCTTAATAAAGGTTGCCTTAAAATTCACCGCAGAAAACCATATGCAACCTTAAGGTGACAGATCTAGTGTTGAGTTTAACAACCTACAACAACAACAATAACAAGCTATATGATCTCAAATTGTCAGCTACATGGATATTTTCCCATAATTGTAAGCTCATAACACCCTAATATACACAAAAAGCCAAAACCCCAATAATACCCTACAATGAGCACTGGATTGTATAGCCATAAGTTTAAATTTGCAATTAACCTCCCTTTTCAATGAATAAATAGTTCGAGAAGCAGTCATAGCAGTTCAGTGGCAAAAGAAATATTATATCAAATCCTTCTATTTATGCTTTCCCATTTGCTTCTTGATTGTTAACATAAAAGGGGAGCGTAAACAAACGGAATTAGATCAAAATAAGCATGTGGTGCATATTCTAATATGAATAAATAGCAAGATGGAAAATAAAGATTAATCATGTTGTGAACTTTTTACCTCTTCAGTGATTACTTCCTCTTCTTCTTCCTCATCCTCCTCATCGTCGTCCTTTGGGGTCTCAACCACCTCCCTCTTCTCCAACTGCGCCAAAGCAGCCTCTGCCTTACGGTAATCTCCAACGATTCTCCGGCTCCTCCAATGCGTCTTCTGCCGTGACCCGAACTCTGCCACCATCTCCTCCTCTCTCTTCCGCTTCCTCTCTTCCGCAGCCCTCTCCTTCCTCACCGCGTCCTCCTCGACACCAATCCCTGCCCTGGACCGCCGAATCTGGAGCCCCACCGGCTCCGCCCGCCCGCTGCCGTCCTTCCCCAGCGCCGACCCGGGCGTGTACCCCATCATCTTCAGCATCCTGAACCCCACGTTGGAGGCCGGGATTTCCGACTCGAGGCTCGCCCTCGTGCGTTCGTCCTCCTCTCGCTGCTTCCGCTCCCTCTCGAGCCTCCGCTGCTCCTGCCAGCTGAGGCCCTTGGGCCACTTGGGCTTCGGCTCCGGCTGGTTCTGCTTCGCCTTCGAGCCAAACTTGTGCCGGGCAGCAGAGGCGATTAGGGTTAAAGCTGGAATCTTTTTACGAAGAACAACGCGAAGATGGAGGGGGGTCAGGGTTAAAATTACCTTGTTCGTTTTATCAGTATCGAGTTCGGCAGGGAGGAAGAGAGAGAGATCGCCCATGTAGTCGTCGCCGTCACCGCCATCCCCGTCTCGTCCAGCCATCGACGAGCGTCCAGAGGAGAGAGGGGAGGGAACCTATGGGCTATGGAGAACCACCGCTACGAGGGCTGTAACCACGATGTGGGGTTCGGTTCATATGGGCTTTTGGGCATCGTGAAGCGGTATCTGCTTCGGAAGGGTCACCAACGTTTTTAGAACTATTTTTGCTACAGATAATTCATGTTTATTTCGGTAATTGTGTAATGAAATTACTACAAAACCCTTCATACTGTAGTGGCTCATCGCCACGCATAGGGTTATTTTCGTCAAAATGGCGAATGGTTCGAAACATATCTTAGTATTTGGAATTTTAAGAAACGTACTTTACCCGTCGTCGGTGGACATGCATCGTGAGTGGAGAATAATCTATGGGCCCATGTCTACGATTATTATGGTCAACGATTGATTTTGCATGTAGCTGAAAAAATAAGTAACTTGGTCAATGACATATAAAAATGTAAAATCTGATAAAGAAAACCAATCCTCATTCACTTCAAGTAAATAATTTATGTATCGAGTATCGATTAATTAAAAATAATGTTCGTTTATTATGTTTTAGGTAAGACTTTATTTATCATCAAGCACAACATCCGTTTCGAGGCTTTCTTTTATTATTAAAATTAATAATAATAATAATAATAATAATAATAATAATAAATCGATATAAAGTAAAATAACACCAAACCCAGAATAGGATGATGATCTGATTGAATATGGTCACTTTGTAAAATGACATAAATGTTGAAGATGGATTCGCACCATCAAATGTCTTTGTTTCCATAAGAATCAAAAGTGAATTAGACAATGGAGAACCACTCCTAGTGAAGTCAACAATCAATTTATGTCATCGTAGATGGTCTACGAGTATCCCTTCCTCCCTTTAAGATTAATTACCCCAAGCTCCCGTTCAACAAAATCTCCAGCACACATAGGAGGGTATTTGCTCGCAACCGGTGTCTCAGCGAAATGCCCTAACGGCTTCAAGATAGCATCCGAAGCAATATGTGCAAAGAGCTGGTTAAAACAAAGTTGACAAGAAAATAAATATATTAGCGGATGACAAAATATGACAAACAAATATATATATATATATATATATATATATATATATATAACCAAAAGAAACTAAAATGCTTACAGTTGATGAAACCCTCCAAATGCTGAGGTTTTGCTGCTTTGCCAACTCAATAGCTTCAAGTGTCCTATTAGTCACAGTAACTTCATGCATTCCAGCCAAACACTTGCCTCCAGTTAACCACTCTATCTGCATATGAGCATCACATACATATTAGCTGCATACATACAATGGGTTAAGAGAATAACACACATTATTATCTGCTATTTGAAACAACACCTGGTATTTGCTTAGAATTTGCTATACATATTGGTGTTGTACTCACAATTTTTCAATGGCTCAATTACCATGCATTGGCTGAAACAAGCAAAAATACCTGCATTCCTGTTTGGATAAGAAGACAACCCACAGGAACCTTGACCTCCATTTTTTGCCCATTTCTCAGCCAGATGCTTAAGCCTGGGAATCTACTTCTACCGTGGATTGTTAAGAAATTTAGGTCATAATGATATCCTGCAAAAACTGTGCCCAAACTGCCATGTCGTTGGAGGTCACTTCCTGTTGGAGCGAGGAGGTGAGGTCCCTAAAGTTTACAGGGGATAAAGAAGGAACCATAAGAACAACAAACACAGTATGATGAGAGTAGTTCTGTCTATAAATAAAACTATTACTAGTTAATGAATTTTCATCCTAGTCATGTATGGAAAAGGTGTCAATAATCTAAAGTGGATCTGTTAACATTCCTGCAAGTCACGCTAACGATAATGTAACTAGTTTAGAATTTTCCACAATTACTGAAAGAAATCCTAGAATTGGAGACAATGTCTCCAAATAAATAGAGAGTACATGCAGTTAACTAATGAAGACATACAAGCTCCGAGTCCTGATTAATAAAACCTTCCAACAATAGTCAAGCCAGACAAATATATTAACCTGGAATCTGATACCCTGAAACAAGAAATAAAGCTGCCAGTATGTGTCTTAGAATGTTGAGACAAATTAAATATAGCAATCAGAAAACCAAAAACTCGTCCTGCACCAGGGTTTTACTGGTAATTCTGCATAGTCCTCGTTCATTGTATCAAAAAAATATATATTTATTTCAATGTACAAGATAAAGCTAAAAGCCGATAAGCGAATTAACCAAATTACATATCACACCTGCTGGACCTGTTCTTAATCATCATCACTCAGGCCTCTCCCTGTCAACACAAGGTCAGCTACAGAACACTTCTCAAATTCGAGAAGGCTCTATATAAGATTTGACAGAATTTTACAAATTTTGTGATGGGTTATCAAATTGATATCAATTTTGGGGACCACACCAGTATGACCAACCTGACTGACAAGTACAGTATGGTGATTGCTACATGCTAACAGGACATACAAAGACTTGTCCACACAATCAAAGTGGAGAGAATGCTCTCCTACAGAATAAAAGTAGAGAGGAGGCACTGGGAAAAGGGCACGTCTCGAGAATTTTTCTAAGACGGTTAAAAATTGCCATAAGGTCGTCATTTCAGACATTAGACATGAGAACTATGAATCTTTATCGAAAAAAGGAAACATACTCTCCAGATAGAGATAACCAACCATTGATGCTAGAAAGAAGTTGCAGAAAACAATTTTGCAGTTGATAATTCAATCAAAAGGATTAGTCACACAACAGTTTAAGCTGTATGAATGTTAAATGTACTAAATATCAGAGCTATTTGATAATATCATGAATATAAAAATAAAATCCACTAACAGTTTAAAGTGGGGGAAAAGCGATGTAGAAAAAGATAAATGTTCACATTTAAAGAACTTAAAGTTTCAAACTGCAATTCCCTCTTGAAGGAGATGCATGTTAAAACCATAGGTTCACATGCACAAATTTGAAGATGAGGTCTGTGATGAATGGCAACAAGCTTAAAAGGACAGTCATCTTATAAGATAACTGTAAGAAACAAGAGTGTAATATTGAGATGCACAAGGCCACATGGTATTACATTCCTGAAGTCATTAAAGATGGAAGGTCTACGCAATAAACAAAAAATGTTAAGGGTATCCTATAAAGATGAATAGAAGAACATACTGCATGTGAGCGAGACAGAAGACACTCAAAACTTTGTCCTCGGTTTGAATTTTTACATTGGTCATTTATACTGTTCATCAGCATGAAACTTGTCGATTTCAAATACATCATATAGATCTTTTCTTGACTATTATTTTGTCTTCTACTCTCCTGAACTTTGATTAAACAGATTAATAAAGCAACAAAAACATTATGAAACTTGATGTGGACACATTTAGTGTCGGTATGCTCAGAATCATATCATAAAGAATCTGCAGATATAAGATTAGGTACTTCCGGTCAACATATGCCCATCAATATCAAGCATGAGCATACCTATCATGCAAAGATATGGCTTCTTATCCACAGAGGGTCAGGCGGGATGTCATAAGGTAACCAAGAGACCATGATAAAGAACAAACCCATTTCATGAAAAAAGTGCGACCATTAACCAACAGAGTTATTCATTATGAATAATAGCCTGCTGTCGCATTGAAACATATGAGTGCAAACTAATATGGTTAAAATAAAGTTGGTAAACTAAGGTTGGTTGAATCCATGATGCAGTTGTCAAAACAATATGTCGACAAGAATAAAAAATACTTGTAAGATGTCCTAAAATTAATAAAGGAAAATTAATTTGAGAAGAAATAGATTAAGAATTGAGCATTTAATGGAATGGGGGAATACATAGAAGGCAATCTAAAATACTGCTTAATATAAATGATATGAATTGGCAAAATGGTTCGAAAAGATTCTTGGACAGGAGCAAACTAAAGCATTACAAGCTCCGTGTTGGTCATTTAGAAGAAAAAATTTCATTATCAACATACTCCTGTAAACATGGTATAACCTGTTTCATTAAAGAAGTGAATGCATCCTTGTCTAAGCCAAATCCGATTGCAGCCATCTCAGCAACAACCTGGCACAAACAAAGTCTTACATACACAATACACAATTATAGGCAATCACAAGAAAATGATGCAAACAAAATAGAATTAACAGACACCTAACTGTAAGAGTGATGTACCTCAATTGCGGCTATCATTTTTGAACCCCACGAATCCATAGTTTCTTTCCATTCAGGAAACCCTTCGGGTATGACAGGTTCTGAGTTCAGTTCCTTAATCAGAAAAAAGGAAAAAGATTTCACAGTTTCGACATTAGATTCACATATTCCTGCAGAAAAGAATTTTATGAAAAAAACATGAGACCTGAAAACGGGTGTTTGCTGGTCGAGGGCCCACTCTCCACATGTATCGCCATTTAGGATCTGGGCCTCTAGGAATAGCAGGTTGGAACTCTTCCGGCATCAATTTGATCTTTGCTTGCATATCCTCGTCAACCAGACTACGCGGAACTTCCACTCCCTCAGGAGTTGCTCCGACCTAGTTTTTTTATTCAATTAAACATCAGGGTATAAATTTTCTTTGATATTTTTCCAACTAAAGATAATCAGGTGCTATAAATGAAAAATTTTATGATCACACTATTGAGTTATTGATGGGATGCTGTCTTTTTGCAATACTAATTTTCTTGTATCCAACAACATTCTGATCTGCTTGTTTTGAATGGACTTTTTCCTCTGGAATCTTTCTTCCTAGCCTAGATCCTCAAGCACACAACTTGTGCTGGGTCTTTGGCCACTGGGGAGGTTTCCAGAAAAAACGTACTGAAAGAAAGCAACCCAACTAACACAACTACTGGAAAAGGTTTTACTAGGCAAAACATGCAGATTTACCACATGCAACAAGGTGAACCAAGCTATAAAATTATCTTACCTTCAGTGTGCAATGAACATCATGGGATGAAAACTGTCAGTAACATGGTGATGCTCATAACAGTTGTGCCATTTGATATACAGCTTCAACTATCAGATAGTCTCGTTTTCCCTTTCCCTTCTCCCATCTGATTTCATTTATCCCTATCCAAAATAATATTGTTGATGGATTTAAGGCACTTAAACATTTGTTTTGTCGGTAACGTATTGGATTCTTGCAATGGTAATTTCCATCTCTGCCCTAAATTCAATCCGGAAGAACACCCAATAAACATCCCCCATCGTTCCATATTTTTCATGCCCGCTTAGAAAAGTTGATAAAGACATGATTTGTTTTTGCTATGATATCCTCTCCGTTTGCGATCAGTTCTATTGCTCACGAAAACAACTCGGATCACAGGATCGAATGTTGGGATCAAAACCCAGATTATCACCTAGCATTTTTTTCAGATGGCAGACAAGCCGATCCACCGTTTATAAAAATAATCAATCTAAAATTGCAGGGATATTCAATAGAACCAAAAAAAAATCCAATCAAGGAAACGAAGAAGAAGAAGAAGGAAACCTGGTAATGGAGGGCGGGGCGCGCTTGGAGGCGCTTGAACTCTTCCGGTCGCCCAAAATATCGCTCCATCATGTCGAGGAACCGATCATTGTCCTCGACGGAGCACCGTGGGTCCTTCACGAGCAGCGCCCCGCTGTCCCTGAGGCACCCGCTCACCGTCGTGCAGAGCGCCCTCAGCTCCACCTCCGCCGCCGCCGGGGGAAGAGCTCCGGCCCCTCGCCGGGCGGAGATCTCGAGGTAACGGGAAAGGTCAACCACCGGGAGGTCCATCGCCGATGCCGGGATCGCGTTGATGGGGCGTGTAGCGGGGGGGAGTATATATATATTTGCAACACGACGGGGGAGTCATGAGAAGTCCAACCGGACAAGGTAACTCCACTAGGGAAAGAAAGCGGAACGCGAGTTGGCTTGCGAAACGGTGGGAGGACAAGCGCAACTGATCCTGGAAACGAAAGAATGCCTCAGCTTCCTGTTGAAACAAGTCACTCGGTCACCTACCCTCCAAGTAATTGGAGGGTTCTGGTGGACCCCACCGTGGGTCCGACAAGTCACGGAGAACGAGGGTGCTTATGCGTGGTGTCGTCTCGCGGGGCAGGAAAACTACGGCCCAAAATCCGGGATCGGTGACCGGGCAGCGTATGCTCCCCGGGCGGTGCGTGAAACCTGCAAAGTAGACCGGCAACGGTTTGATGAAATGGGCGGTTTCGGAAAGGTTTCTTTTAAGAACACATTAATGGACGTTTGGTTGGTTGCCTGCAAGTGTTCGATGTATTTCAGTCTGTTTTTATAATAAAAAAGGTCAAGTTTGCGTTAATTTTCTCAAAACATCCTTTATTTTTACTATTTTTTTCTTTAGCATTTTCTTTTTTATTTATCCTAGAAGTGATTTTTTTTTTCTAAAAGATGAAATTATCTTCTTTTTTTTTTTTTTATGATCGCCATCATCCTCCGCCCTATTACCTCCATCCCTCATCCCTTTTGCATGTTCTCCATATTGAACATATTCTCCCTTATTGATCGAAGAAGCTATGAACTAGTAGAGGGCCTATTACCTCCATCCCTCATCCCTTTTGCATGTTCTCCCTATTGAACATATTCTCCCTTATTGATCGAAGAAGCTATGAACTAAGGAATAGTAGAGGGCAAGCGAGGGCAATAACAAGAAATACTTGTGTAAGAGGGCAATAACAAGAGACACCTTATCGTTGTGTAAGACATTCAGGTGATGACCCACATCGAGAAGGAGGCTAAGAACAAAGATAATGATGAGGGGTAAAAAAAAAAAGAGGAGGAGAGATGAATGTGACAATAAGAGACAATGATGATCATAAAGATGAAAGAAAAAGGTTCAAGAAAAAGAAGAGAGGTGAGGATAACAAAAAAAAATAAGAGACAATGATGATCATAAAGATGAAAGGAAAAGGTTAAAGAAAAAGAAGAAAGGTGAACAACATTCGAACGTAAGGGGAATTTTATTTTATTTTAAAATACATATATGAGAATAAATAAAAAAAAGAAGATGCTAATAAAAAAAATAAAAAAAGAGATTTTTTTAGAAAACTTGCTGCTAGTCAAATTTTCTAATATCGATCATTTATCAATCACACTTACAAATCCAACGACACTAAGATTTTACTCCCAATATTATTTGTTTCCGTTGCTTTTTTAATACTATAGAAATAAAATAACATCAATATGCGGTATATGTATATAATTTCACATTTTGCACTTAAAAGGTTGTGCAAACTACAAATCAGATGTGCCGTAACACACAAGTAGATGTACCTCATGGATGAACCAGTTAATTGGTCACCGTGTAATATTTGTTTGACAAGTCCATGTATCGGAGCCTGTACCTTTATGCAATATGACGAAAGTTCTCTCTCAAGCCTAGCCTGTTGCATGTTTAAGACAGCTAGCTACTGGTTCCTCTACATTCTGGGAGGAAGCTGAGTTCAATTCTGAGTCGAGCTGACCACTTTTGTTGCATGTCTAAGACAAGCTAGCAACCAGTTTTTATGCTTCCTCCAAAGTCCATTCTGGGTAGAACTGACCACTTGTCGCATGTTTAAGGCAGCTACCTGTTTTTGTGGTTCCTTAAAGCCCATTCTGAAAGGAAGCTGAGTTCAATTCAACTCTACCAATAGATATGGTATTATTAATTAAATAATACAATAAATCAGATACCCTAGGATGATGATGTCTTTGAGGTCCCAAACCTTTTATGTAACTTCAAAGGCTCCCAGTTATGTTGTTCATAAGCATTAGTAGATCATGCACACAAGATTTGATATTATAGGTTTACTACTTTCTGACTGGATTCTATGATTCAAATTGAGCCAAAAATATGAAAAACAAAATGTGGCTTATCAAACAAAAAAAAAAAAAGTTCCAGAAACACAGGACCACAAAATTCTTTAGTAACACCCCCCCCCCCCTATTATAAATGCTACAGGATTTCTGCCCTGACTGGAATTTAGAAAAAGAAAATTCTGAAATCTGGATCCAAAGGGGGCTGTCAGATGATGCATCAATACAGTGGAACACATCATGTGGTAGAAAGAAGCTGTTAAAACAATGGCTTAGCAATACCTAAAGAAAGAAAAACCTACATCAAGGGTACAGAGATGTAGTATGTATGAGAACTCCTCAATCAGCAATACCTGCCCTTCGACATAAATATAAGAAGCACACAGAATTGTAAATCTGAATTCCTATCCAGTAAAGACCTAGAGTTTTTCATCTCAAGTTACACACGCAGCTGCTAGAATGGAAGAGACTTATTGAACTCAGTATTGCTCCAAGACTCACCGAGGGAAACAGGGAGGACTATGCAAACAAAGAGTCATGAAAATACAAAAAATTTGGAGGGTCCAGAAATTGATAGAACCAGTAATGGAGAGAATGAAGAACGTGGCAGAACTAACAATTAACATCATATACAAAAGCACGATTCTGACACACACAAAATGGATAACCCTTTGTTGATCTCTACTTAAAGAATATAACATAAGACCCATAAAAAATATTCCATTCTGGCATCTAAAGACAAAAACAAGCAGAGGTAGTGTATCACAATAAAAAAGGAAACCAAAGTAACTCACAAGTTGAAAGAAATAAGTATCTACTACAAGTATGACAAACTGTAGAATAAGAACTCTAGTATCTACATGATTAACATGATCTCAAAGCAACCACAGATCTGGTGGCTGCTAACTCCTATTACTTTCTTCAGCTATAAGGGTTTAAATTAAATAATATAACGGGTATAGGATTATCTGACATGAGAAAAACAAAAAACCAACAATAATTTCATAATGGTTGAGCTCCCCAAACCCCGCATTGGCAGGAGCATGCACTGGATACACCCTTTTTTTTTATTATCTGTTGGCATAAATGCTCATTTCATGATGTCTGCAACCAAGTGATAAAAACTAAACCATCAATAAAGTACAGAATGAGCACTATCACTTCATTTCTAATGCTTACTTGATGGAATCACATAATTAATATTTGGTGATGTGAATTCTAACAATTTCAGAAGAATAAAAGATTAAACAAAAAAATGTTAATTGAGTTTCCGCATCCTTTGTGATTTCTCAACATCCTAAAGATATGATTAATGATTCATGATGCTCGGTGAGAGATGGCCAAATCAAATGATTGATTTTAAAGTTCAATTTGTATTAGACCACGACATGAGTGTTGCACCATTTTACATTAAAAAGCTTTGTTGACACGTTCAGATTTTCAGGAAAATAATGATAAACAATATTTTTTTAAAACGAAGGAGAAAAGAAGCTTACTTCTGTTCTTTTTTATTACTTATCAATTGCCAAGTACAAGAAACCTAAGCCATAAGGCACTACCAAGGACAGCATCAACTGATCAAATCTTCCAATCCCCGTCACGGCTCAAGCATATTTTTTTGTTCCCAGAAAGTATTCAAGAAAGCTTTACAATATCTATCAAGTGAGCAAGCAAAGAAAGTCAGCAATTACCTGTCCGTGTGATTTCCTTGAGAGTGTACCTAGAATTTAATTTCATCTAGAGAACGATAAAAGCAATGAAGCCTTATTGGTTTTCTTAGCTGAAGAGAATTAAGTTATGGACCCGTAAGTATAATATGTCTCCAAAATGAACCCATCTCATCGCTGTTGGATCTTAAACAATCTGAGCTGCTCAAATCGTAAACTCCATGGTAAGTCTAGACAAACTGGGAAGAATTACAAATCAAGATCGCATTATTCTGTTGGAAAGAAATGGGACATTATTCTACAAAGGACCCATAAGTATCAACGCACAAATTCTAAAGACCGAATCGAACAAAATAAGACCATGGTACCTGATGATAACATTATCGCCCAAGTAGAGCTGCCAGAGATCCTGCCGAGATGCCCACGATGCAGCAGAAGGAAACCACTCGAGCTCTTATGAACAAGAGATTCAAGTTCTTTGTGGCCTGGAGAGCCAGCGTCAGAATCTGGAGACGCCCCTGCTCCTCCATCTTCCTGAAGAAGACAATCGGCTTCAGGGCCCGGCGCACGAGGAACGCCATCGAGAAGGGAAAGCCGAAAGCCGCGAGGCCCTGGACCAGGACCTCGTCGGGCGGCCGTACGGAGAACACGATCCACGCGCCGAGGCCGAGGTGGGCGACGCCCAGCAAGGCGAAGGCCGAGCTGAGGCTGTAGATGCTCCTAGCGAGGCCGTCGAGCACCTGGCGGGTCTCGTTGGCGAGGGCGGAGTCGTCGCGCTCCACCGTGGGGCCGACGATCTCCTGGTGCCGGAACTCCGGGACCTGGGGCCCGCCCTCTGGCTCGGAGCCTCCCGACGGGCCGGCGGAGAGGTTTCTGGGATCGGGGTATAGCGTTTTAGGCAAAGTCGGGATTCGGGGAAGGGAGCTGAAGGGAGTAGGGATAAGACTTGGGATTGTGGGGGTTCGCTTGGAGAGGGGTCGGGATCGGAGATTGGCGGCGGCGGTGGTGGAGAAGGATCGGAGGAGAAAGAAGGGATTGGGGATTTGGGGATTAGTAGACGTGGAACCGGGTGTAGCAAGGCGGTGGTGGGATCGGAAGAGGGGCGTGGAGGAGGATAAAGCATTAGGGCTTTTAGCTGGGCTTAAGAGGAAGTGGAGAAGTTTAGGGATTGATCTGCGAGAGCGAGAGAGGAAGGAGAAGGAAGCCATTGGTGTTTGCCCGTAGCAGAGCTTCGGAAATATCAGTAATTTATAGGCGCCGACTTGTCACAGAATCCGAAACTGGCTGCCAACGGGTCCAAATGTGGCTCGATTTGGACCCAACGGGTCCAAATGTGGCTCGATTTGGACCCAACGGGCTGATAAACCTAATAGCTCTTAATTGGGCTGACGAATATATGAGCCAGTTTTATGAAGGAAATTATATATGGTCTTTGCGACCCGTGAATTTTATGAAAGAATTGTGACACTGAATGTACAATCAGCCAGCCATCAACGTAAACGCTAATGTTTGTTGCCGCAATACGTCATTGATCAACGGTCGACTTAATTCAAGTAGATTTGTGTTGAAAAAAGATCACAAGCACAGAGATCAGTCGAGTCATTCGTTCCCAACATCGGGTTTCTTTGTTCCCCTCTTCCTCTCTCTCTCTCTCTCGTTACGAGGCAGGCTACTGCAAGTAGAAGGCAAAGAAGGAGAGGACGGCGGCCCCAAAGGCGGCTCCAACAGCAGGGGTGATCGCGAAGGACGCGCTGGCGGGGCCGGGAGCCGGAGCCTCGGCTGCAAGGGCGGTGGTGGCCGACGCGGCGGCGACGAGGACGGCACAGGCGATCTTTCCCATCTCCATTTCTGGCGGCGGTGTGGCTTTAGAGCTGCGGAAGAGATGATAGAGAGGGAGAAAGAGAAACTTTCTTAGGATGGCTTGTTCCTCCTCCTCCTCTGCAGGCCTGAGGAGGAATGTGGGATGGGAAGGAGGGTTTTCTAGGGTGTTTCCGTGGTCGGGATGGATAGTCGGAGTCGGAGATGCCAACTTCAAAGCTGTGCGTTGTAATTAGAGGAGCGTTTTGCGTGCGTGGGAATCGGTCATTTGGTCAACCTCGTTGACCTGGGCCAGTTGTGAAGCTTAATGTAAAAAAAGCTTATAAATTATATCCGACCAATAAAAAAATATTATCTTATTGCCCCAGCAGACCATATGAGTTGGAATTCCTTTTAGCTTGATCCATTTATTCGGTTTCAATTTTACGTGTAAAGCGTATATAATTTATATGTGAGAATACTTCTCTGACTACTAAAGTTTTTGGAATTATTAATATATATATATATATATATATATATATATATATCTCTCTCTCTCTCTCTCTCTCTCTTCTATCCGAACCGAACCGAACCGGCCCGAACCAATCCCACCCCTCCCGACTCATTTCCGGCTCTATCTTGCTTCTGCTGCTGTCATCGTTCCTTCCCCCGTCCATGGCGGAAGCAAAAGCTGAGACACCCACCTGGGAGCAAAGAATGCACACTCTCACCCACATCTTAACCCACCCCACCACTGCGCCATCCCTCCACTCCCAGCTCTTCGTTGCCTCCCACGTCCCCTGCTTCCTCTCCTGGGATTACCCCCCTTTCCTATGCCGCCCGGCCCCTTTAGCCGCCGGATTCCCCCCGCCGCTTCTCCGCTGGTCCTTCGCCATCTTCCTCCGCCGCTCCTCGCGCCTGGGCCTACCCGCCTCTTCCTGGCGCGCCAAGTGCCCCTTCCAGCAGCCGCCGCCCCTCGTCCTCTCCTCCGCCGTGGACCCGCCGCCTCTTCGCTGGGGGCCAGAGGAGCGCCGGGAGTCCGTTCGCAAGCGTCTGAGGCGGGGGCGGATCGGTGTCAGGGTCTCGCCCGTCCTGGCCTTCGCGGTTCCCAATCTCGCGCTCCTCTCGCTTCTCTTCTGGGAACCGCTCTGGCGTCTTCCGGAGACCTAAAGTTGACGCCCGGTACGCTTTTGTTCAGAATCCAATCATCGTATAAGCTTTCTGTGGCTTTCTGTAATAGCAGAGACTACATAGAGGATGAATTCAGTGCTTTCATTAGAACATGGCTACCGCATATGGATAATTGTTTTTTTTATATATTTTTGGTTGGAAAACTGTATAATTTAATCCAGAAAAAAATGATTTATGATTTAGAATCATTCATGCATTAGCCTAATATAGATCAACGTGAACTCTCTTTGATAAACTAAAATATTAAAATGCTGGTCAAAACGATTAATCTTATCTGATATATTTTGAAGTTAACACAGCAAAAGGATTCACAAATAAAAACGCAAACGTCCGTAAATTGTTGAAGCTTCCACAAAAGCCAGACAGACTAAGCAATAAATTTACCCTTTTATTTTTGGTTGTCTCGTAATACCTTCTACAACTTGGCCAACTCCTGACTGAATAGAAGTAATCTAGTCTAGTTAGTAAAGATTTTGACAGTAAGTTCTTGAGCTCAAATCTCACCTTAGTTATTTGCCCTTTGCAAAAAAAAAAACTTAAAATGCTGATTGATGCCACCAGAAGTTCCAATTTCTCTGACTAATAGACTTTTTATTTGATGTATTTATTCATGGTTGTCCTCAAGTCACAGGATTTGATCAATTCTGTAAACTATGGCTATAAGCAGTGGCAGGATAATCTGACACTGACTTTGTTATCACATCATCATAGAGCTAGTTGATTACAATTAGTTTTCTTGTATGCCTTTTTTTCTTCATGTATGTCATCCTGCATAAAATCGTAAAACTTGTAAGTTATTAAAAAAAAAAAAAAAAAAGCTTTTGATGGTGGGAGTTTATTGACTAGGTTAACAAACTGCAAGTTCATGTTGAAGATTTTCCATTCACATAATATTGTTTAAGATCAAACAAGGGGTTCATTCCTTGTCTCATATAAAAAGATAAGATTAATATGACATGTCTGGAGATAGATTATCTCTAGAATAAAAGTCTGCAGCATTTTGTTTGATGCAGCAGCAAAGTTAACTGTCAGATATGTGATTATTTTGTGGCTATTACAAATTTTTTTATGTGTGGTATCATTACGGTGCCCAAAAGGCATTAAGAAATTAAGTTTATCATGATTTTAGACTGATGTGGTCAGTGTGGTTTCAGATGAGATGTTTTAGCCTTCATCATGAGCACAATGTATTCATTTGTTGTGACCTTCATTTGGGAATTGCGGAATCTAATGCCAAGGTATTAATAATGGATAAAGAACTTACATCTGGTCAGATAAAAATAGTAAATAATAATATCTTATTATAATGATTGTATTTGATGAATTACCTTTTTGCTATTTGAGCAAAGCAAACTGGAAATTGCATCTGCCAGTATAGTTTCATAGAGACATTTTTTTCTGGAATGTTTAATACTGGTTTAAATAGGTGTCTGGGCACTCGTCCAAGTGTTTGGGTGAGGTGAGGTGAGGCCTGAGCACCTCAGGCTTCGACCAGGCGGCACGCTTCAACGAAGCATCGCTTGGGCACTCACTTGAACCCAGGTGCCTGGCGCCTCAAGCGAGCGCTCGATTCAAACGAAGCAACCGAATCAGACTTTTTAAGTCTGGTTAGGTTGAACAGTAACTAGTTGGCTCGATTGAACCAACTAAGCTCGAACAAATGCTTGGTTCAAATGAAGCAACCGTGCTAGACTTTTTAAGTCTGATTTTGTTGAACAGTAGCTAGATGGTTTGATCGAACCAACTAAGCTATGTACTATTACTGTACATCGCTGGCCCTCCCCGCATGACCCCGAGCCATGAACCCTAGCGCAGCTACTACCTCCGCTACCAATCTACAGGACTGACACTTCCTCGATCGTAGATGGACAGGTCCGATGGCCTAACCTTTATACGCGGTTCCTTCCATTATTGCTACTTCCATGTGCAACTCCCTCCACTGTCGAGGGAGAGGACCACAGCTTCATCTATCATCGACGGACACCTTTGAAGCTTCCTTCACCCACGACATCATTGTCCACAACTTTTGTCATATTTGCTACTGCCATTTGCAGCTTTCTTCTCCGTTGTTGTTGTCGTTCGAAGCTTTTGCCTCCGTTGTTGTCGTCTAAAGCTTCCTCCGCCACTATTGCTGTCGTCTGTAGCTTTCTCCATCGTCGTCGTCGTTTGTCCGAAAGTTCCTTCATATATATATATTTGAAGTCTTATCCTTCAGCAATTCTAATATATATTTTTCCCTATCTTTAGTACATAATTTGTGATAAAAAAATTATCATAAGCTTTATATCTTGTAGTTCTTTCAGCATCTTTTTTAGATTCTTTATATCTATCTTTTAAATTTCTCCTTATTTTTATAATTTTATCAATCCTTAAAACTTGATATTTTAATAATAATTGTTTTATGAACTTTCTCTCACCATCATCAACTCTCTCTTAAAGTTATACTTCTACCTTTAGTTTCATCAAAGATATTTTTTTTTAAGGTCCTAATCTTATTAGCAATTGTAGTCTAAATAATATCAGTACTATGTTTGTCTAAGTTTCAAATCTTCTCTTTTTTTTTTATCCTATTCTTAAAAACTTTTGCATCATCGAACCCTAGTAATTTTTTTCTACAATCTTTTACTTTTTCTATATTGTACAACAAATATGTATAAGGTTATAATTCTTACATATAATTTTGCCTATCTATCTTTGTAACGAGAAAAATGTCTATAACTATTCTTATAAGTAATCAAATATTTATGTTTGTTCTTGTAGTGAGTATTGACAATTAATTATAAGATGGGTGATAAAATCTAAAATCATATCACCATCTTCGTTCACTCCTTTTTATCTTTGGCTCAGTCTTTGATTTGCAATGTTCCATTGATGTCTTTCCAGTGTTTTGATGTTCGTGCACTGTGTTTATGTGCAGGTTATCCGAATTGATGAAGCAGCTCTCGGAGAAGGTTTGCCTCTTGGCAAGTCGGAGCCGGCTTTCTATCTGGATTGGGCCGCGCACTCTTTTCCATTGAACTTTTTCATCAAATGTGAATTATTATAATATTTTTTTAATTTGGTTTATTTATAATATTTTTTATAATATATAATATTTTTTTTTTGTTGAGATATTGAAAAATATCGTAAAATCATTGAAAAACACTGTAAGCGATATATGTGCCTCTTTAGGTGTCATTCATTGCTTCTAGATCGATATGATAATATAATTTTAGGCTTGTAAATTAGGTTGATTGAGGTTAAAGGTTCATTTATGTTATTCACATGTTTTCAAGAAGGTCTTATAGTATTTTTTTTATTATTATGGTAACTAAAACATTATAATAAACTATTTTTTTTTAGTTCTTATTTGGGTGATGTTATTATTAAATCATTATAAATATCTATTTGAATGTTAGTGTGATTTTATTTTGATTTGGGTGATGTGTTTTGATTTCATTTGGCATATTGTAATAGTGGTATAGTATTTTTTGTTGAGATGGTATTGAAAAATAATAAATCCTACAAGAGACAGACATATTAATGTTATGGCTTATTTGGTTGTATTAAAACAATATCTTAATATTTTTCAATAGAGAGAACGATGTATGATCAATGTCAGAAAAGTTCATGTATCGAAATGGGGATTGAGCCAATCCGAATGCTTAAACAGAAGAATGAAACCACTCAACCCCATCATAGAACGGATGGGCGCTCCCAAGTTTAGTATTCTTACGACATATATATATACTCTTTCGTCTTTCGTATAGCACCGATCTATTAATATCGATCCACCATAAGTCAGCTCATGTTTCTAAGAGAAGGCATGTTTAAATCTCAAACATTAAAGTGTTTGTGAAGCAAATCATCATGAACTTGGATTTCCGATGCGGTGGAGAGGTTCCAAACAAGCAGGTAACTCCAATTTAAGTGATTTATAGGAAAGCTCGAGTCCGACGAATTCATAACGCGACACGACATAACATAGGAGTTCATTGGTTGGGTTGGGATGCCAATGTTTGTTAGTGATGAAACATTATTTATGACACCGAGGAGCCATCCGATGGAGGATAATACAAGTATCATCAAACGCCGCAACCAAACACGATGAGAGAAGATCGAAACGTACGACATTGTAGCCATCCCAATATAAGGTTTGGGTGATTAATCACATCAACGATAGGAGATCCAATGAAAACCAAATAAAAACATATACTACGCTTTATTGATTTCTCGATTCAATAATCAAGCATTCTATCAAGAAGCAAGGTGCCACTACGCTTTAACTTCAATTTAAGGGTTGCACAACAAAGGTCCAAAATAGTCCACTACAGATCGAAATCTCCCACAAGTGTTCACATGATATAATATTTATTTATAAGTCTAAAATGACCATCAAACCCAATTAAATTTAGGGTTGTTAAGCTTTCGACCGTCCAATAAACCAAAAGACACGGACATACTTACGCATTACATCGAACACTCCGTTTATAATTTTGTCCGTGACATTCTCCCCCACTTATTCCTTCGACGTTCTCGTCGAAGCCTTTGTCGACACTGCAACTCATCGTCTTTGCTGAGTCTTCAATCTTCTGCTCCAATTACAATTCGCCTCTTGGCTCCCAACTACTCTCCGCTACTGTTGTTGAGTAGTCGAACTTTTGATCTATCATGCTGTTTCAACTCACTAATGACTCTGACTCTTGTATGGGGTTGGCTGAGTTATGTTAATCCCTGTTGATTTCTACAGATCCTTCAGATAAAGGAAAAGATCATCATTACTATGCGTCAGTCTCTCAAATACCTTATGCTTCTTGAACTTGGTGGATGCTTGTTGGAGCTTTAACGAGCATCGCCTCGTAAACTTTTAAAGTTTTGGATCCTTCCTCGATAAAAGTTATCTATCGACCCTTCTTTCACTTAATTGTTATTTCCAAATATATTCGCATCCTTTTGATTTCGATTGACATTCTATTGGGAAATGAAGCGGATAATCTACTCTCAGTAGCATTGATCACCATCGGTGATGATTTGATAAATATTATCTTCCATTATCTTCAAAGGGTATTTGAACCTATGCAGAGCTCCTCTATTGAATAGATAAGAGAATTGTGGAATTCAGTTTCGTCTATTCTCTTAAGAGTTGAGAAGGCAAAGGTTACTTGACTTCACTTGTTTCCTCGAAGGTTCTACTCCATGCATTGAGTTAGTTACTAGCCTTCGCCTGCTCTTTGCTCATGCTTCTAAAGTACTTGAAGTATTTACACTCCATGCATTGAGTTAGTTACTATGATTCACCTTCTCAATGTCATCGAACTTCTAGAATACAAGAAGTTTTCACTATAACTTAGAGCAAGTCTCTTGTAGTTTAGGTTGCCTTTAGGATTGCACCGTCTTCTCCATCAACCCTATCGCCTACTCCACCGAGTAGCAAAGGTACAACACCACGTATTGCCTACTTCGTTTCTTGGTCGTGCACTCTTGCACGACCTAAAGTCCTTCACTTTCAGCTATCTTGATGAAAAGCTCATTGACATTGGTCTTATGAAGTTCCTTGGTCTCTCTGCCCTTCAGCCTTGTCTCGGTACTTGGAGTTTACCTCTATATGCTCCACCTCCTCGGTCCCTTTCATGACCAAGTGCTCTCCCTCCATGAGAGCAAGGGATCGATGACTTCACAGAAGTTCCGCCTCTACGGTACCATGGTGCTGCCATGCCCATGGTCCTACTATCCGTCACATCGCATCTGCATCCTTTTTCTTCAAGATCGGTAGATCTATCTCTGTGGCACTTTGGCACTCCTCCGAATCCACCTTCATTCTAATCGATGCTTAGTTTTTTTGGATAGCTAATCTCTATGGACTCATCATCACTTCCTCACCCCTTTCGACCCCCTGCTTCAACACTTCTGTGTTCTCCAAGCAGTTCCTCTTAGTCGATGGAAAGACAAACTGTAACTCTCATATATGGCCTCTACCATCATGTTGCAGGGTTCATACCGATTCTATTCTCCTTGGCTTCCTCGGTAGCAATGTTCACTTACTCGACCTTGTCCTCTGACTTGTCGAGCTCCCTTAAGCGAATATGGGCTCTAGAGTAGCCCAACTCTCCAACTGCTTCGATCATACCTCTGCATGATCAAGTCCCTCCCATGAGATTCATTAGTACTTGCATTCAAACTTTTCCCTCGGTGGTACGTAGCCCTCATATGTTGAGGACCAAAGCTTTCATCCGATGCAAAATTCGATGCACGCACGGAAGACCCACCTCTATGGTACCATAGCCTTCACTCATTGAATCCATAACTCTTCTTATCGTCATGTTGTTCACCGAAGTGGAGCTCCCAATAGCTCTTGATCATACCTTTATATGATATAGTCTCTCACGGGACTAGATTCGTGTGTATCACATTGCCACGAACTGTTCTACCATGATCTGTTGCACCATGTCGCTTCCTGATGACATCTTTATTGCATTCTGATCCTTGTGGGATGAACTCGAATTGTAATCCCTCCATGTGTGGCCTCTGCCAATACATTGCAAGGTCTCTTTTACCTTCGATTTTGTTCGCTCATTTGGCAATTGACCTTCATCCACCTGCTCTTGGGTCATGCTTAGATGAAGCATCGCTCTAGGACAGTCCGTCACCTAGTAGCTCTTGAAGTCCACCGACTTCGCTGAAAATGGTACACCATTGTCTGGATCCTGGGCCTTTGCCCCTACCAGCATAATCTTCACTGTGCACCACTTCCTTCATGGCAACTCAAATGACAACACTATGACATATTCTTCAAGAGTACCCGCCTCCGTGTCCTCTTGCCCCATGCCGAGGCCTTCTGAACCCAACTTCGCCTCCGCAAGTTGAGTCACCTCAGTTCTCCATCAAATGCTTCTCCGAGATAAGGTGCATGTGCCCAGAAGCTCCCTTCATCTTTAGCACCATGCAAGATAAGTCCGCTCCGTCAAAATGAAGGACCCATAAAATAATATGATCCTGCTTTTGCCTCTGCAAGAGTTCATGTCCTTGACCTCTGTCCAAGGAAAGCTCTGTGCCTCTGCTTCATGTTCCATCTTCTATGTTGGCTCCCTTCATGTGACTTGGGTACTTCGTCAAGTTACACCCAAGTTGCTCTGCTCCTCGTTTTGCATTGAATTGATGGTGGCCCTCGCGCCCACCATTCTACGGGTCAGCCCTCCCTTGAGTCCGATCTTCATATCGACTCTAAGTGTGCCTTCATTTGTGTTGTTTTGGGTTGCTCCCCCACTTGATCTCGTAATGCATTCTCTCAAGCAAGATCATGCGACAACTTCTCGCCGCTCGCTTGGTCCATTGAGCTTCATGGAGTTATTGTTTTTGAGGTACTCCTCCTCAACATGTGCAGTCTATTGCATATGATTCTCTCTTTAGAGAACTGGGATCTATCCCTCTTGGATAACTATCCTATTAGAGCAACATCTCTCTACGCTTCTTTCTCTCTGAAAGTTTCGGAGACCACCATCCCCTTAGACTACTCTGATTTGCTGAACAAACTATGCATTGTTCTACCTCTTGCAAATGCACTTGCTAGATTGCGACTCCATGTCTATAAAGCCCACGCTGTACCACTCAAGGCTTAGCAACATGTTAAACTCGCTGCACACTTTAGCCTCCTATGGACGTATTCTTCATATGCCGAAGAGAAAGTTTCAATGCTCCATGGCACCGAGTTTCGGTTGCCTTGGGATGGCCACGAACATTCCATCGTCCACATACAAGCTCATGCATGAGTACCGAATTCTTCGAGTTACCAATTCCCCTTATCTTTGTGAGCTTTGCACAACTCTTTCGGTTGTTAAACAACTCATTCCACCTTGTATGGTCTCATCCTTTACCAAGCGCCTCGCTTGCCTTGAGCACCATCAAGTATAGTTGTCAACGTCGCGCCGTAGCTTGAACTCAGCCATCCCAAGCTTTGTGCGCTTCACATTCTTCCAAGCTTACTTGTTCTCGTGGTGCCTCTTGCGTGAAGGGTTGGTCATTCCTCTAAATGCCAATATTAGATGCCCACTCCTCCGAGCGACTCATTTTTCCTACATCTCCATGCCCGTTTGTCCCTAAACGGTCACGCGTGTGCTGACTGCCCTCAACACAGCCCCACTAGGTCTCCCACATTTGCATGCCAAGTGTTTCTTTAAGTGCTTGTCCCGCTCTAATACCATCTGTCATAGACTTAGCTGGTTTTGCCTAAGTCGTGCGGTACCCTTACGTGTCCGTCCATAAATTTCAGCCTCCCTAAAGCCTCCCATGGTCCCTTAG